ATCAGTAGAATCATTTTCCACATTTAATCTCTTACGATTAAAGATGCTCGTGGGGTCCAAAGTAACGTCCCTAGTATCTACAGGTTTTATTTGGGCTCCTGATAGCTTGCTTTTATGATTCCTATAAAACAAGGTTGTGACATTGTATTTAGTCATTCGGTCCGTGAAGAGTATCACTAATTTGGCCAAATAAGAGGAACCTGTCAATCAGCACCAAACAAGACTCTGGATAAGAGGAGAATTCTTAAATGAATTATAATACTTCTAGGTTTAATACTTGGCATAAACTAGTTATCTAGTTAGTGTTGGAGGGAAGAGAATTATGAGGTGGAATGATAGACAGCAGGAATAAGAAAGGTAGAAACCGGGTTGGGGGAGGGTAGAGCTCAGTGGTAGAGTGCATGCCTAGCATCGATGAGGTCCTGGGTTCAATCCCCAGCACCTCCGTTAAATCGATCAATCCGTTAATCAGTCTAATTACTGCTCCCCTCCCCACCCCACGCCCCCAAAAAAGGAAAGAAAAAAAGAAAAAGAAGGGTAGAAACTGCTACAGTTGGACCATTGCTGGGAAAAAGAGGAAGAAGGATGAGATTCAAGTGCTATATTGGGAGAGGTTAGCGGAACAGCTGGGCTAGCAGAGCTAGCAAAGCCAGACCGGGGTCAGTTTCCGTCAAGTTTATTTGTTTATGCGCTCTCTGAAGTTTTAAACAACCACAAGAAAAGGGCGCATTCCGTGTTTTATTAAACAATGAACTCGAGCAAGATTCTTCAGCATAAGATTTTGACGACATTTAAGGCTGAAAGCTGACCTAGAATGGTCACAGACAGAGAAATAAGATGCAGAAAGTAGAAAAAAACAATGCTATTGTACTGAGAAGCAGCCCTGAGGACGTGAGAGGTGGAAAAGTCCGCTATGCATGGGTTTCCCCGTTGTCAATATCAAGGCTGATTCTGGCTGGTGTAAGCAGGAAAGGGTCAGTGAGTTCCAGTTTTATCTCCATTGGATAATGGGCACAGAGAAGGCTGATTCACAATTATCTCAAAGGGAGTAAGAGAAATATTCAGGTTAGCATGCATTCTGCATTGGTGCAATACAAGTTAGTGAGATTTTATTGTGTTTTGAATAGAATACTGTTGATATCATTTACCATAATGAAATGAACATGCATTTCTTTAACATAACCAGGAAGTGGGTCCTAGATTTAACCGCACCAACTTCTGGATGAGGAGGTAATTGGCTTCATGTGGCATTTGCTTGTACCAGCTTTATGTATAGATTCAAGAATCTATGACAGCATTGTGATGGAAGTTTCAGGAGGAAGATGCTGTAGGAAAGAATGATTAGCTATAAAAATTACTAACTCCATCTAAATTATTGGTTTGGTAATAGTAGAGTAAGACTTACCATGACAGTTTTATCCACTAACTCTTTTCTTTGTATTTTAGGCTGCAGCTAGACATCAGTGTTCTTACCTAATAAACATGCATGTGGATGAATTTTTAAAGACAGGCGGTATTGCTGAGTGGTTGAATGGTTTGGAATATGTACCACAAAGACTGAAAAATCTTAATGAAATAAACAAGCTGTTAGCACACCGACCCTGGCTGATCACAAAAGAGCACATTCAGGTACTGTTTCTTTGGGGGGAAAAAAGAAAACGTTTACTAGTTATTCTAAGAGTTAATTTTTTTTGGTTAAGTCTTTTGCTTAAGACTTAATTTTAAATACTTGCATATTGGGACCTTGAAAATGAGAAATAGTGTCTTCATATGTGTAGAAAAGATCAATTTAGAAAGTCAGTGGGTTTAATTTAAATATAAATGAATACTCCTCTTTAATCAGTAATTCGCTTGTACAAATGCTTTAGCGAGGAGCTATGAGAAAAGCTTTCTATTTTATGGCAGTAGGTAGAACAAAGAAAATATATTAGCAGGAGAAGATACCTGGGTTCTAGTCTCTAACCCTGTTACCCACACGTTTGAGACCTTGTGGTCACAAGTAAGTTAATTTCTGGGGGCCTTGGTAGTTCCCCGTTCTGCAAAATGAAAGGCTTAGATTAAATGAGTTGTAAGCTCTTTTCGAGTTCTAACATTTCATAATTTTAAGATTTTGAAAAAAATGATTTTGCGGACACATATGATTTGCCAGCTGGTGTGTGAATGCTGAAATGCCTCTGGAAACTAGAACTTAGATGAGAACTAGAATTGTGATTGACTGGGGCCCTTGCCCTTCAGAAGGAACACCTGTGGAATGTCTCTAGGGTGAGGTGGTTGTGCACTGTCCTCGGCACTGTGGTTGGCCACTGGTCACTATTCAATAAATAGGAGTCATCATCTAAACCATTATTGGTAGGAGCCTTAGGTATTTCAAATGCCTGTTTCTAATTTATAGAAGTGTCGTTGGTGTGTTTTTTTTTAATCCTCTTATTAAACTACAGTTTTGTTAGTTACTTGCCCGATTAAACCAAACTTAGCTTTTGTCAATCTGTATATGCTCAGATTTTTATGATCTGCCTGGGAATCTGTGAAGCACAGTGCTGTCCTGAGGTCTGTGTTCTGGTTTGATAACATGGTAGTGAGCTAAAGGAACTGATCATTATTTTTCTGTCACATGTAAGTAACTTTGTGCCAGATACTTTGGTGAGTCTAAAAAGATAGACCCTGCCCTAGACATGCTGGGAGTCTTAGCGGGGAGAGCCAGGTAGGTAATTAAGACAACAATCACTACACAATAGTGTATGAATGTATATGAATAAAAAGAATGGAACCAGGAGGTTTGACAAAAGGGGTAACATTTGAGATGGGTCTTCAAGAATAAGTGGGAATTTTCAAGTAGAGGAGGGCATTCCAGACAGACAGTCGGGTGTGAAATATTGTGAAATATTAAAAAAAAGTAGCTAACAGCTTCAAGCTACTGAAGTGTAGGAATGGTTATGTAGGGTGGAGGATGGGAGAGAGAAAGAATTGAGATCATATTATGTGACCCAGTGAATACTGTATTAAAGAATTGGTGTTGTATCCTCAGAAAGTTATGCTCTCCAGAGTTACAATAGTTCAGGGGGGGCAATAAGACGACCCTTCAAAATGTTAGAAAATGTGTGTGTGTTGTATGTGTCGTTATCTCATTGTTCCAAATTTCTGTATTTGTGTATTATATAATAGTAGTATTCCAGTACCTGTCTATAACTGATCTATATAAAATGTTGTATTTCATAAGAATATATTTATTTATAAAGAAGTATACATACCATCAGGAGTTGGGCCCCCCAACTGGTACGGTCAGAAGACTATATGATGAAAAGAGCTTCGATAACTATGATAAAGAATTGAGAGTCATTAAAGAAAATTGACCTGAGTTGTAACACGAGTGTATTTGGTGATGAGGAAGGTAAATTATGAATGGTGCAGACTAGAAGCAGGGAAGCCAGTCATAATTCACCTGGGAAGTTTGGGTTTTTTAAAGCCACAGGGAAATAAAGAGGAGGGAGCCGACTGTACGTAATTATTTAGCATGAGAATAAGCAGAACTTGGTGACTGGCAGGAAGTGAGGCTGGAGCAAGGCAGTGGGACAGGAGAATAGCTCTAAGGCTTCCACCAGCTTGACTGGGCAAAAAGCAGTGCCATGAGCAGGATAGCACACAGAGCCTTGAGATTGGAAGATTCTGACGTCTGTGTAACGATGCCCAGTTACTGAAGGAAATACAGGTCCGTAGCCCAAGCTAAAGGGTAGATAAGCAATAACATTGGATAATTATATATAGATAAGCACAGGTCAAGTTGAGGGACCAAATGATCCATCCAGCGAGATAGTGTACAAGGAAAGGTCATACATAGAACAAAGCCAGCCAACATGATGAAGGCAAACAGGAAAAGAAGAGGTCTGGGAGGGAGACGGAGAAAGATGCATCACAGGGTAGGAAGGGCACTACTGAAAAAATAGTAGAATTGCTGGTCAAAGGAGGTTCATTTCAAGAAAAGAAGTGAGGAAAATGTAAATTACGCAGGGATCAAATAATATACAGACTAAAAAGAATGAGTCAGATTTGGCCATTTGGGGGTCATTGTGAATTTAGTGAAAGTAGCTTCAAGAGTTTGAAAAAGAAGCCAGGCTATAATGAATAAAAAAGTAGAAATTAATATAAGGTGAGAGATTCGGGAGAATGAGTGTTGGCTCTCCTTTCAGGTTTCATGATAATCCTGCAAAGACGGACGAGGGTGTTGTAAATTCTGCCAATCCTTTTGGAAGCTCTTTGGCAGTATTATCAAAAGTCCTAAAAAATATTAGCCACCTCTGCTCTAGAAGTCCTATTAGGAATTGTTTATAAAATATGAATGAAGCTACAGCATGAAGATGCTGTTTATAGTAGCACATAAAAAGAAATTTTGAAGACATAGTTCTGGGCTGTAATATAGCCCTGCTTAAAAATTAACAGAAGACGGTGTAGCCTCATGAAAATTGAACATGTCAAAATGTCAAGTTTGAAAAGCAAAGAAAAATGGATGTATCGTCTGATTATATAATTATGCTTATAAAAATAAAAGATATATAGAAGTTACAACAGAGTGGTAGAATATGATTGATTTTTTCCTTTTTTCCCCCTGAGCTCTTGGTAATATTATATTAAATTTGGTAATATATTGAATCTGTATGTAGTTGAATAATGAAGAGTAAAGCAAAGGTGGTTTTTTTTGGTTTGGGGTTTTAGCTGTGAAGTGAGCCAAGTGAAAGTTTTAGATTTGTGATGGTGGGAAGGGGGCGCTATGAGACGTACCCCCACCCACCCACATAACACACTGAGAAAGAGACAGACAGACACACAAAGACTGATGGGAGAGAATCCCTGATGGATTAATAGATGGAATTGGTAGTGGAGGGATTCCTGATTTTAATGGCTTCACTTATGATACCTTCATTCATCTGGAGAGTCAAGTGAAATAGCATATACAAAAATGCTTTGATTTTTTTATGTTCTCTCAAATGTGGGGTAGTGTTGTACAGTTTCTATCATCTGCTGTACGTTCTTTCTCCATCAGACAAGATGTCTAAAAGATAACTAAAAGTTGACGTACCAAATGAAATTTTTATGTGATTTCTTTTTAAGGTAGGGTCTCTACCTTAAAACCTTAAAATGAATGGTTTTGCTAGATCATCGTTTAAAGTCCCTAGGCTTCAGTGTTCTTGGATTCTCAAAAATACCTCATTAAAATAGCATGATATGGAAAAGTGCTTCGGAAGCAGACGTCCCAGTGTGTGTGTAAGAAATTTCGAGAAAGCCACAAGGTAGTTATTATTGTCAAGTTTGATAGGTTTAAGGTTAACATTGTTTAACCAAAATTGTATCTTCAATACGTGAAACATTTTTAAAGGGAATTTTAAGTATTATTACTATAAATGGACTTAGGAAATTTTGTAGCTGTTCCATCCTTTCCAAAACTGCTTTGCAGCATTCTCTGATTTTCATTTTTACTCTGATTTGCTTCCTTATTTCAGAAACTTGTCAAAACTGGAGAAAATAATTGGTCCCTGCCCGAACTGGTACATGCTGTGGTCCTGCTGGCACACTATCATGCTTTGGCAAGCTTCGTTTTTGGTAGTGGCATCAATCCAGAGAGAGATCCAGAGATTTCCAATGGATTCAGGCTGATATCAGTTAACAATTTCTGCGTGTGTGATCTCGCTAATGACAACAACATAGAGAATGCATCCCTTACAGGCGGCAACTTTGGGGTTTGTCTGCTTAACTGTTTTTCTTTACTATTTTGCGTTTAACATTGCTAATGTTAAAAATATCTAGAGAATTTTATTATCTATTAAACAAGATATTATATGCTTGAAATAATTTTGCATAATCTTTATTACTGTAAAAATTTAACCTGTACCTAAAGTTCTGAGTTGTCTTAAAGAGGCTTTTAAAGCAAATACATTTTATTACAAATCATAAGTCTGCCTCATTTTTTAAACTAAGCAATACTCTAATTGAATGCACACCAGATTCTAGAATTCTAGATTAAGTAAATCCATTCATAGAAATTTTCTATATTTATAGCTGAAGCCAAAACACCGTACTTATGAACATGTTTGATTTTGTTACGTGATTTTCTTTGGAGTTACTGGAAAACCCACTTAAGAACTTAATAACTATACCCATGACATTGGGAGATGAAGACATTTACTGGAACAACTTTTAATATTAGTATCACTCAACATTATCTTCTCTTGCTCCAGATTGTAGATTCTCTAAGTGAGCTAGAGGCCTTAATGGAAAGAATGAAAAGGCTTCAAGAAGAAAGGGAAGATGAAGAGGCATCTCAGGAAGAAATGACCACTCGCTTTGAGAAGGAGAAGAAAGAAAGTCTTTATGTGGTCCCTGGAGATACTTTTCATTCATTTCCTCATTCAGGTGCTTTTTCTCTTTCACCGTCTTTCCCTTTTGGTTGTTCTTAGAACCCTAGCAGACCACCTCCAGCACTTTCCATAGGGGTATGTCAAAACCACTCTACTCCCGTGTTCTTTTTACTTTGCTCTCCTCTACCTGACCCTGGTGTTGTTGCTTCCCTCTGATGTTGGTGCATCTTTGGATATATTTCAGATCCAGTTGAGAGGTGCTTCAGCTTTGTAGTTCACACTGTAGCCTGGATAAAATGTTATTCACAGCAGATCAGTTGCTTATCAAGTTAGATAGCAATGTTTAATTCATCCTACCTTGGTTGATTTTTTTTTTTTAATGATAAGTGAAATCCTGTTTCAACAGATGCCATTTGTAAGAAATACCACTGCCTTTTCTGTGGGTGGGGAGTGGGTGGGAGGAGCGTTCTTGCCGCTGCTTTTCCAGATTAGTTCTAAAATTACACAGCACTCGCTTTTGCATTTCTTTGGAGAAACCTTTGGAATTTTATAAAAATGTATTATTTAGGTCATTTTCTTAGATTGAATTTGGGGGAATTCATTTTGTATTAAAAGCTAGGCTTCTTGGCTCTAGTCTTAAAAACACATTTTTTTCCCCCTAATACTCTGAGAGACTTTGAAATAGGAGGGAAACTTTTCAATTATGGCTGAAAAAGATATTGAACACTGCATAGTAAATGTTACTAAAATAGCATACACTCAATAGACTTTGAAAGCTTAAACTCTTCAGAGTCATCAATCTATGTAACATTTATTTTTAAACTAGAGTTTCATTAGTTTAAAAGAGGGTTTCAAAATGACTAACTGTGAGGCTAGTTGGTCTCATAAATTCTGAGGGTCATTGATTGGCCACAACTTGTTTGTTAAATGTCAAATATGGTGTTGACCAATAGCTCTCAGAAGTTTTATCAAGAACCCCTTTTATCATTTCCCCCCATGATCCTTTTTATGAAAGATTTTATCTACCATGTTGAGTATATTAAATAACCATTTCTCAGAGCCTCTAACCAGCAGGAATTCCCAAATAAAGAAGCTTAGCATTTTAATTATTGGTTTACTTATTTATACTGCAAACATTTATCGAACCCCACGTAGTCTCAGCAGTGTGGTATGTACTACAGTTTTCAGGCTAAAATAAAACATGTTTCCTGCCCTCTGGGGGCTCTCACTGCTAGTGGGAGAGAAATAAATAATTACAATAACATTGCAGAGTGTGAAGGGTCTATGAACCCAGTCACGATCAGGGAGGAGTGGACAAAAGGAGTCCTGGAGGAAGATTTCCTCCAGCCGCTGGGATCTAAGCTAAATTGAAGAAACTTGAGTGCAAGGGAGACAGATGGTGGCTGGGGGATGGGGAGCTGGTAGTAAAGCATCCAAGCCTGAGGCAGGGCACTGTGGTAAGGAAACAGGATGCTGGGTGCAGGAGCAAGTGGTTCTGTGTTGTTAGGACATAACTCATGAGGTAGGTCACATGAGGAAGAAGCTGATTAGGTAGATAAAGGCCTTATCATGATGACCTTTCTAACCTTAAAGAGCACGTAACCTACCAGATTTGGGGCATTTTGATTTGCAATGTCTATTAAAACCTCCAGCCTGGAGACATCTAATAATGTGCTTCTCAGACTTTAATGTGCACGTGAGTCATGGAAGAGTCTTGCTGAAATGCACATTTGTATTCATTCCATCTGGGCCAGGACCTGAGAAGCCACGTTTCTCTCATGCCTCCAGGTGATGCCCGTGTTGGTGGTCTGCGCACCACACTTGGAGCAACAAGGTTGAGAAGAAGAGGGTTTTAAGCTCAAGATAAAGTTTTAGACGTTATCAGCATCTATTTAGGAGTTAAAATTGAAAGAATTGTTTATAAAAATCATCCAGGGAAAATAGATGGGCCAAAGGAAAGTAAGAAGCCTAGGATGAACCTTCTAGATAAACTAATATTTTAAAATGTAAACACTTTTATTAAGGTAATATCTATTTGCTTTTAGACATTAATTTTTTAAAGCTTCTCTAAGACCATAGAGCTTGAAGAACATAAATGTTTTATTTCTTTTAGTTTTTTTTTTTAATATTGAAAATATGTTTTAGAATACTAGTCTTTACCCTCTTGGACCCTTGAGCAAGGACTACTGCTTTCTAAAGTGAATTTTGACCAGGAAGTCTTAGACCCTAGCCAAAAATTCTGTTCTGATTTTAACAGAAGAGGCTGTATCATTTATGAATTATTCAAGGAAATAAATCATTTTATTATTTACTCTTAACCATTCCCAGTACTAAATTTGCTGGTCACACAAAGATAACAGAAAAATGACTCAGGATGTGGCTAACTGAGTCATTTTTATAGATTTACCATGTTTTAAAATGGAAATAGAAATTTCTTTTCCCTATAACGAGTTTCTTGCTTTGATCAGTGTGATAAAGCATTTCAGATTCCATGTAGAGATTATTCTAAAAATAGTTTTTCAAGCCTTTTGAAGAAAATAAATGTTTAAGGTGTTCTACAAGGGTTGTATTCTGTCGCTTGGTAACAAAATTAACTAGCTTTTATTGTTTTTTGTTTTGTTTTTTCAGGTTAGAATGGTGTTCCATTACTGTAACATAGGATTTTCTGTGTTTCTATTTGTATTATATTAGTAGCCACCTCTCAGGAGCGGAAGAATGCAGATAAACAGAAAATACCATTTCCTTTCAGTCCAGAGTTCGAAATATTTGTTTAGATAGAATTAAAACTGGAGTTTTAGATTTGTCGATCAGAGTACCAATTTTAACTCCTTTTTTAAGAAGTTTTAACTTCTTAAGATAAATTTAGGAAAAAATATTCGTTGTTTGAGAGAACTGTGAACATTACTTTCTGTGGACAAAACTGTGAAGAAAACAGTCTTGATTGACTCCTAATTTGAAAATGAATAAGTAGACATTCTTTGTAGGATAAAGCCTCCCTTATTTGGGTTTACTCTTTATTATTTATTTTTCAATGTTTAAAGGTCCTGTGGCAACTTGCAAGTATATATAAGCAAAACAGAAACTATCAGCAAAGTCAGAGGAACCAGCTGCGTAACAGCCAGCTCCGAGATCAGGGTTTAGCCACGTGAGACCACATGGTTGTACAGTGTGGGGAGAAAGACCCTCTCAAGAGAGAAACTGTTTTATAGAGCTTATCACTCACTTGTCTTGGTTTAACTTCACTTTGTTAGACACAGGACTCCTACCTGTCATAGCAGCCTCAGTGATTGCCACTACATTTTACATTTTTGGCCTCATTTATGTTGATTATTATGTGATGGATTGAACTAAGGAAACCATAACCTCATACGTAAATATTAAGAGATAGTGCATTGAAAACACCATTTTTTAAGTGTTTCTAGTTACCCAGAGGCTGAAGCACAGGGAAACAATGAAGTAGTTGTGGGGCTGGGCTGAGGAGAAGCCTAAGCTTTCACTCCAGAGAACTAAATATCAGCTAAAAGCTTCAGACCAGGTGGGGAGGGGATAGCACAGTGGTAGAGCACTTGCTTAGCATGCACGAGGTCCTGGATTCAATCCCCAGTACCACCCATTTAAATAAATAACCTAATTACCTCCTCCCCACCAAAAAAAATTAAAAATAAAAATAAATAAAATTAAAAGTCATTAAAAATAAAAGCTTCAGACCAATTCAAGTAGTTTAATGTTTACAAATTTTCCACATCATATTAACATACACTGTATTTGTTACTGATGCTCAGTACTGACAACAGTTTTAGTTAGTTTATTTATTTCTTTAGTATGTAATTCTTTTTTTTATTAAAGAAACACAGAAAAAGTAGATATTAAGTGCATAGCATTAGATCGGGTATGTTGTCAGTCCTCCACAAGTGCCGGTTTCTTCTCTTTATGTGTGATGAAGTCATATAAGAATTTTAATAAGCTATTTCCTAAGTTGGGTAATCTGGGCATTGGATTTTTCCTGCCTGTATTAAGCCCCCTGATTAGTTCATGCCAGTGACCTAAGGAAAGGTTAAAACTTGTGAGAAAAGAATATTCATTGCTAGGATTTTCGTGAAATAGCAAAGATTAAAGATAATGAAGCTACTGCCATTCTGTCAGATCTTTTGGATTAATTACTATCATTTCACTTGTGTTTTAAGCTTCTTAAGACTGTCCACTTAAGAATTATAATTTTTATTATACCACAAAATTGTTTAATTAACTATGTATTTAATATTTATTCATTATTTATCAAATACTGAATTTATTTAACAGTAATTAAAACACTGATTAGGAAAATATTATTCTTTGCATGGAAGACACTTTTTTTTACTTTTATTTTGAAAAATACGTGTTCATTTTTGAGAGTAGAAGTTAGTAAATAAAGGTTGTTTATTCCCTTTTAGTGGTTGAAATCAGAAAAAAGTAATTGTAAAGACAGACTAACCTTGAAAAAAAAAGTAAGTTGTAAAAGAATTACCTTTAAATCAAATTAACATGTGTTTACAATTTTCCAGTGGTAAATTTTTAATATTAAAAGGTATATACAGAAGTCAGATGTCTTAAAATATTATTATAGTCTTCCTATCTTCCTGAGTGCCATTTTGATCGTATTCTAATCACAGTCTCATCAGCACATTGTTTACTTCATATTTTGTATTTTGTTTTCATGTACACAGAAAAGCTCACCTCCCTTAGGAGTAAAACTTAATGAATTTTACACACAGCCTTCCTGCTTAACCAGCACCCAAGTCAACTAAGAGCATAGCAGTGGCACCTAAAAGTCCACTTTCCTCTCTGTTGTTTGCCCTTTCCAGCCCTTCTCCCTGGCTGCCAAAAATGAACTCTATCGAACTGATTTTCACTGTGAATACATTCAGATGAAACACTGTCTAATTTTAACAAACTCCATCTTGACATTAAACTCGATTAAAGTAGTCTTTCCCCTTCATCCGTTCTCTTTCCCCACACCCTACTCCATCCCCCAGACAGATCAAAATAATGTTTAAGCTTTATATTCAAAGGCCTGTGCTATCTTCCTTTTCTAAATAATAAATTTCTCAATTTCTTTCTAAGTAATAAAACTCGTGTCTTGATCTTCTGTTACTACTGTTTAAATATTTCAATTTAGTCAATTTTTTGCCTGTGTAACTACAGCTAAATGTTATGATTGCCAGTATTTGGTAGTGAAATTGTATTCAGAACATCAGCAAACGATATGTTATGTAATTTTAAGCCATGAAGTCAATATTGTCACTTTGGGAATTCCGTGGAAAAGCTAAAGCTAGAAAGTGGAGGAAAATGAAGTTGATTCATTGTTCTAACTCTGTACGGTGTCCCTAACCCTAGATTGCTCATTACCATCCTTAGATTTTGAGGATGACATGATTGTAACTTCTGATGTCTCCCGCTATATTGAGGACCCCGGTTTTGGGTATGAAGACTTTGCCAGACGAGGGGAGGAGCATTTGCCAACGTTCCGAGCTCAGGTATGAGATGCCTTTAATTCAGAGAAACTGGAGGATAAATACTACCATTTTAACTGTGGTTGTTGAAATGTCAATAAATTGACTTCTAAAGAAATGAATAGGTCATTTGGATAGAGCCTGTAAATATTTTTACTTCACCTCCTTTTCGACCTTGTCTAGTTTGATGTTCCAGTAGGTGGATTATTGTTTCAATATTTTCCCCTCTAAGAAGTCAAAAGGAAACTGCTTTATTAGGTTACTTGCATTATTAGATGGTTGCTTGTATAATGTTCATTTTTTGGAGAGAAGCAGGTAGGAAATCGAGTGATATGATCACATTTATAATAAAAAGGCATTTTGTAATAAGATTATACACCAGTTGTCATGGGCTTAAGGGCCACCTCTCCCCCACCGCTAGAAAACGGCCCCAGTAGAGACGTGGTTCTTAAAGAAGGTACCAGTGTGAATGAAGACTGACTCCCCTGGGCTTGTTTCAGATGATCGAGATGATCAGCTAACTGTCCATGTCACAGAGTAGGTTCTGTCACACAGGAATAGTCCAAGGTCTTCTGGGTCTGGGTGTACCCACAGGCCTTCCAGATAAGGGCATAGTTTGCATAGTACTTGCCCACAGGAGGTCGACAGAGTTTATCACCAAGGCGCCAAACCCTGGACCCATGGAGGAAACGGTTTGGCCCTCCCATCTACAAACTGATGTGAACATTCTTAGCAAAGCTACAAATTTAGAACCAAATGTGAAATACCTCCACTTACTTGCCTCGGTAGTTATATTTAACAAAAACCTGAAATTTAAATGGAGAATGGCTGTTGTGTAATTGGATACCTTTTATTCTTTTAGGACTACACCTGGGAAAATCATGGGTTCTCCCTGGTGAACAGACTTTATTCTGACATTGGGCATCTCCTTGATGAAAAGTTCCGCATGGTCTACAATCTCACCTATAACACTATGGCCACCCACGAGGCTGTGGACACAACCATGCTGCGCAGAGCTTTATTTAACTACGTTCACTGTATGTTTGGAATCAGGTAGGGCCATTGCGGAGACAGCTTTATACGTCTCTAAATGAAATTTCTTTTTCTTTCTTTCTTTCTTTCTTTCTTTCTTTCTTTCTTTCTTTCTTTCTTTCTTTCTTTCTTTCTTTCTCTTCCTTCCTTC